CCTAATTGAGAATAGTTTGGGTGGCTGGGGCGGGACGATAGAGCTACGCTAGCGCGCGATAGTGTGTGCGCCCCCTAATTCTAAAGAAAAGGCGCACACACCCCGCGCATACGGTTACACACCCTAAACCCTAAACCCTAAACCACTCTCAGGGCCCAGAGTCGGCATGTGCCTTCAGTCGAGTGCGGTGCACCGCAACTCGTTAATTGCTCTGAAAAGCGCTTTAGGGTTTAGGGTCCAGGGTTTAGGGCTTAGGGTTGCGTCTGAGACTTTCCTGAAGGTGCAGTAAGAGCCCCTTGTGTACAGGTCTTGCGCATGCAATCACTCCGATTTGAGTAGGCTATACCTGCTTGTGTTTCTTGACAGCCTGGCGCACCCGATGTAACTACCACGATAGTAAGTTTACGAACTTACCGGACCCTTAAACCCTGATCCGTGCAATGTCCCCTTCCTCCCAGAGTGTTCCCCTCATCCGCTGTTGCACAACACATCCCAGAGGGTTGGAGGGGATACATAGGGATTATATCGTTCTGTATAAATAAATATATGTATATATATATATAAATGGATATATCCCTTGCTTCTTGGAGATTGGGAGGAGTAAGGCAGGGGTAACTTTCCCTGAACTACTGTATCACGGAAATCGAAATCTGGTTTCAAACGGTGCCCCCGAAAAGGGTTTGGAATATGCTGCAATGATTTTTCGTAAAAGGAAGGCACGCAACATCTGAAATATGGGCTTTGGGGGATGGCATCTCGTACCTGTATCTTATAGAAAAAGGTTCCCACGGGAGGTTCAAGTCTTGGGTTTGGTGCTGGGCAAATGCTAAAACGGCCAGCTACAACCAAAACATAATTACTCGCCCGAGATAATCTCACCCTCCCTTACCACACGGACCTTAAACCAGAAGGCATAAATTCGCATCGCACCACATTGACCCTAAGCCTTAAACACCTTACCTTGAACCCTAACCAAAGCACCCCAACTTCCACACATTATTAGAGGAGAAGGAGTTCTACCCTCTGTGGAAGCTGACCCTCATTGCCATCCCACAGCTGGGCGTTCAGGCGGTTCTGGGGCATCGGGTCCGTGGTGTCCTTGTAGTTGGGTGGATAAGGGCATAAATACTGTACACACCTGCCATGACTCTTCACTTAGCATACCGATAGAACTTTGCCATTACGACTTTTGATTTCTGAACTGTGTGCAACATATCTCCTCACCTATAGAACATGTGCCATGTTCAAGTGCTGTTGTGCAAATCGTGTATGGCTCCTCCTGGAGCATTACAACACGGCCTACAAAAGACCCAAAGTTCGGGCCCATGATGACAGATCCACTTAAGCTGGCAAAATAAGATGTAAAACTAAGAAGCCGCAAAGTGTTTAGGTTTCGTGGTTTATGGTTTGCCCTAAACCCTAAACCCTAGGATTCTGAAGTCCTGCAGCCCCAATTGCACCTACGCCATCTCACACCCTTACTGAATTGTTAGTCGTATGCAGCACTTTTTAAAAAGATTACAAGAGATGAGCTACTGTCAATACTAGGCGTGCTAAGGGACCATGGAGGGTGGACGGAGGGGGGTGCTTTGGTAGTTTAGTATAATCCCTAATGTATATTCCCTTACAAGGCGCATGTCCGTTGATCATCTAGGAAATGTCAAGCCCTAGAATCCTCCTAATTATCCCATATTCCATTTCATATTCCACTTAATTTTCTCCATTATATAGTAGGTTCCATTTTCCCGTCCATTACTCCGATATCCCTTGGTAAAGCTGACTGGCTGTAGCTTATATGATGTCTTTCGGTTGGTGCCACCACTCCGAGCGGATGCAAGCAAAGCTCTCTGGAAGTAGTGCCGACACGCCTGTTCGGGGTTTGGGGGCTTAGACTTTAGGGCATAGGGCGGCATAGGGTCAAGTTGAAGGTGTGCTCGAAGCATCTTAACCCGCGACGCAACTGCCAAGAACATGGGCTGCTGTGGTTGATCCCGCAGTATGTTGAATGCTGACCCTTGGGAGTAATGATCTCCAGGTGATGTGGTGCTTCATCGGGCCCAATGCTCCTCGCCGCGCTTGGAAGCGGTTTGTTTAGGGCAAAAGGGCGCTGAAGCTTCAAGGTTTTCTTGCTTCCCCACTGATGTCGAAGGATCATGCAAAGTATTCCGAAGTTTAACTGCTTGGCGTCTGAGCATGTCCTACATGATTTGCTGAAATCCTTGGAGTCTGCGTTTTCTTGAGCCCACAAACAAGCGTAGCAGATTAGATTGCATGCATCTTGACCGTAAACCCTCTGAAGGCTTGGAACCTGGACAGACTCAGTAGTGGGCACCCCAGCCATGCCTATGCGCAGTTCATTAGTGAGGTTGGAAGACTTGCCTAGCGGTAGTGGCAGCATGTCACTGATGAATCTATGGTCATACTATCAGTAGTTCTGGGGTAGACATTCTAGCACGCTGTTTTAACATAAGCTTGCTCTTTCCTGACGTTTGACGACAGTAAAATGTCCAGCATTCGGAGGAGACAGGGTACGGAGGTTCAGATGTAAACCCGAAGCCAGGAAGTCTGGCCACCTAGATAGATCTTGGAATTTAGAGACGTGTCCATGGAACAGCAACCCATTGCAACGTACGCCAGAAACCTCAGCCATTGCGTCAGCGCAACGGCTGATCGTCCATGCTACGCCCCTACATTATGGTCTCTGGACCTCCTATGAACCCGAGCTCCCTTCACCTTAGGCGGGGTGCTCAAAGAAGGGTCATTGCCCTAACTACGGCTCGCATGGTACCCAAGGCTGCACCCTACATGGGCCACTTGGGTGTGGGTCCGTCCTTGGCGAGCTTGGGCAAGACTATTTGTACTATAGTCTAAAGTCCTTCAAGGGGGATTATATAAGGGATTATATAGGGGACTATTAGAGGGGTTATTAAGGAAGGATACGAAGAGTTTAGACTATGGCTCATTTAAGGTTTGGGGTCCAGCAGGGTTTCAGGTCTAGGTCAGTCTGGGCGTCTGACTTCATGGCTTTGGCTTTAGGACTCCGTGGTGGTTCCTCTGGAATGCATGGTAGTTTCCTTAAATAGAGGGACCCCAATATAGACCCCAAAATACTATAATCCTTTTTATGCGGACCCCCAAAAAAGGTACCCCTGATTTTGGGAAACTACCAAACCTTGCTATCCATTATCGTTGAAGGCTGCACTTCTAAGCGGCAGCCAGGGAGCCCTGTAGTTACACAGAAGTCTAAGCTACCAACCAAATCAGAACACTGGAGGCAGTACATGTGGAAGTGCTGTCCCCACCCAAAGGCTTCCAAGTTGTTTTAATGGTGTAGGGTTTCTATGTTAGGAATTAGTCATGTTAGTTTGGGCTGGTACTCCCTATATTGGTACGTTGGATCCTTTGGGCTACAGCCTGAAATTCTTTTATGAGGGTCATGGGGACATATATAAGTAGTAAGCAGGTTAGTAGTTATGGTCGATAACTAAGGTTAGTATATGGCTTATATCTTATGGTGGTTTATACAGTGCTCAGTACACTTTCCTGGGCCTCCTGACCAAGGTACACAGAACAAAGAAAGAAAAATGAACCTAATGATCTTGTGTCGTTACCTTTGTCTCGGATATAAGTCCTGTAGACCCAAACCCTAGTACACAGCACAGATGAGGACGCTCAATAACATCGCGGGGCCCATCACAGGCAACTTGCTGGAATCATGGGACTGAGTGGTTCAGAGCGCAAGGGTATAGGGGACCCTACACCCGAAACCCTTAGGTTAATTTAGGGTATAGTGTCAGGGTTTAGGGTTGGAGTTTTGGTTTCAGGTCCTTAAGGTAGTCTGAGGTCACGGTTTAAGGGGCGTTGAGGTTGACGGCGTGGGTGGTTAAAGCTTGCGGTTGTTCTGAACCCTGGGTCCCTGGGTATCCATGTATTTAGGGTTTAGGGTTTAGGCTTGAGCGTGTAGGGTCAAGAAGACCTTTGCATCCCCAAAAACCTACATTGCAGAAACTTTCTTTGGGGCTCGACAGAGGCGTGGAAGCCAATATCAGAACTTGAAACATGGTAGATGAGCAGCCTCGAGTAGCATAGTTGCCAAGTCGCCATGCAAGATTTTTTCCTTTGTGCAGCAAACCCCCGATGCCATATTGGCACCACATAAAACCTGTTCCAAAGCTAGGGTGCCGGATAAAGCTCCAGGAAGACCCTAGGCCATGAAATGTGTGAAGCCGAAGCCAAAACAGTTTCGGCCCGAGGCTTTTTTACAGGGCCGATCATTGGTGCCGTGCCGACAGCCCAGCTTTTCAAGCGATTCCTTTTTCAGACCTCTAGCTATTTCTCTCTCTCTCTCTCTCTCTCTCGCTCGCTCTCTCTTGCTCTCTCTCGCTCTCTCTTGCTCTCTCTCTCTCTCTCTCTCTGTCTCTCTCTCACTCTCTCTGCACCTGCCTCACTCTCTCTCTCTCTCTCTCTCTTTGACAAAGGGTTAAATTTTCGAGCAATTCTATCTAATCATGCACCGTATCCCAAATTTAGGCCCATTTACCCGCACTTGAGGGGTGGATCTTAGATACTGGTTTGTATTCTGCCCGAGGCGTAGGCAGAGTTTGCCTTATGAACTGCCTCTTTATTGGCTTCCGCCTTGACTCCGCAAGTTGTGTGCTTTAATATCTGAAGAGTTCTAGAAGGTCTGTTACGGCCATCAGGCTAGAATTGTTGCTTGGGGTACAGGTTGAGGTTGGGAAGCTTCGTGTATAGAGGTGCATCGTGTTCTCAGCAATTCTGACGACTGCTGGCTTAGGTTGAGGGCTTACGGTACTGTAGGGCTTAGGAACTTGTATGTTGCCTGTACACAAGTTTGCTGCAGACACCACTTAGGTGGCGAAAACTTCAAGCAGAGTATGTGTTGTGCAGTGTTGAGTAACTCTATGGACAGCAATGAAGGGGTAAGTTTGAACACCAGCTTGATACATGAGTTCGCACCTGCCTCATCTGTGAATAGCTATCGGAAGAAGCTTAAGCCCGAACAACATCGGAAGGATGGTACCTGGACTCCGGACCCAGCCCAAACTGAACAACACACATGCGAAGGCCCCCAAGCAAAACCCGACCTTCCAGGCAACCTTGGTCCCGCACTGTGTAAGATTACCTTCATCCCACTCTTTCTAGGGCGTGGGGTGCAACCTTCATCCCACACCGTGCTTTACATCCCAGTAGCACAACCCCTAAGGAACCTCCCAAACCCTAAACCCAAAATCCCTAGGCCACTATACCCTAAATCTATAGGTCCTAACCCCTAATCTCAAAATGCTAGGCCCCAAACCCTAAGCCTTACACCCTAAACCTCCTGAAGGTCGGACCGGCTCACCTCGAAGTGGGGTCGCCGGCGCCCGATCATTCTCGGAGGCTCGCGGGCCCTACAGGGTTCAGGGGTTCTGGATTTAGATTCTGGGTTTAGGGTTTAGGGTTCAGGGTTTAGGGTTTAGGCTTCAGGGTTTAGGGCCTATACAGGGTGCCTTGTTCTGGTAAATAAAGACTTGTGTAAGTTAGATTGTAAATAAATAGGCAACATATACAGAGGCCACCAATCAGACTGTGCTAATGTTGACCTCGCACCCCCCCTGGATTGATCGGTCTCCTGGTGACCATCCCTAGTTAATAAACGACACCCTCTATCCCTGGCATGGTTCATCGGTTGCTGCCTTTACAACACTGCGGCTTGGGTGGTTGGAAGTTCACAGCCGCAGGGGTTCTTAGTGGGTTCGAGGCCAGGAGTAGGGCAGGGTTCTATTGATCTAAGGTTGGAACCCTGGGCGCCTAGTATGGACCCTTAACCCTGGGATCCTTACATACTACCATATACCTTATATGTATCCATGAGGGTTCTTAGAATCCCTCTTAAAGGCCTAAGGGCCCATGTTAGCGGCCCATGCTTCTAATCTGAGATTGAATCTTTTCAGTGTTAGAAGCCCCGTAGCGCCGAAGGGTTTGGCAAAGTTACTGTAGACCCCTCTATGACCATTGCCTTACAAGTTCTTAGACGAGCCGGGAAGTGCTACCTGTCGTGAGCCCCTCGTGCTGCAATGCAGAAACCTCAAACATCGGAGGCGACATCAACGCCTTTTAGGATCTAGGCGCTCACAGCTGCTGAACGCACTGGGGCGGCTTAATTCCGTCAAGCCATGCGCAGCTGCAAAATGGAGACCCCCCGTGTTACGCCCTCTTTGGCATTTGCCTCAGTACCTTGAAGCCCAGGTGGCAAAATAGTGGGTTCATGGGTATTGGATGGTGTGGATTTTCTTCAGCTAGGGACTAGTAACCTGGTTTTCCTGGGTCCTCCAATGGAATTCTACAGCACCTGAGCACTTGCCCATGCCCTTCCCCCCATATCCTAAAATGCCTAAACTCTTTTCGCTAAGCTCCTTTCGGGTTCCAAGGTGTATAAAGGAATCAATTCCCTCAGATTTCCGCTTCCCTGGGTCTGAAAGTTAGGGGTCCTTTGCTGGGGGGTTTAGGGTTTAGGGGTGTCCTTAAAGCAAAAGAAGGATCATGCTCTTAGGGGTCCATATTGGGGGCACATGTCTATGGTGATGACATTGCATGATCCCTATACTTCGAATTCTGCTTCGACAGTTGGCCAACGGACGGGTGGTAGCACAAGCGTTAAGCAGCAGGGTGACGCTGTTAGACATGAATACAGGGCTTCTTCCCGGCTAGGAGAATTCAACGCAAGGGTTTCCAATAGATGAGGTCGACTATGTTGCCCAAAGGCCCCATATAATCTCCAATCATCCCTGCAAGAAGGACCCCCCGACTTTTGTAAAACAGACCTATATCTCCCTTGTCCGGACCATGATGCACGTCTAGGGTTCTGTCGGATCCTTCCACTCAGGGGTACATGAACGTTTCTCACGTAATGGTATCCTCTAAATACCCAAGAACAAAACAAGGCATCAGGACTACAATGGTATTTGGGCAATCCATGTCATGGACTCTAGAGATACTTCAAACCTCACATGGCGCCCCGATTTTGGTGCCCAGCTACATGTTAGCAAAGTGCTGGACAGCCGCGCGAGGACTCATTTCCACGTGGATTGCAGCTATGCTGCTCCCCGGCGGGAACCAGCGTAGATCAGGTTGGAGGTGGTATTCGGTCTGGTCTTTAGTGATGGATTTAGGGGGAGGGTTAAGGGCGTCTCAGAGTTCTTCATTGATGAACGTGCCCGCGATAAACCCGCTGATCAGAAAGTGCATGAGGGCCTTCTGGTTCTTCATTGAAACACTAGGCGTGTTTTCCTTATTGGGCGTCAGCGCGAGAAAGATTACGTTTCTGCGGTATACACACGTATAATGCCCCAGTCTGAGGACGCCTACAGATGGGAAAACGGAAGTTAGCAAGTTCAGTTGCAACCACCTCGTGCTTCAACTTGCAGTATCTGTGAACCTTCAAACATGTGGCAGTCACAGAGTGTCCCACCGGAGTGTTAAACATTAGCCCAGACAGGTTGTGCGCTAGTTGGCTTCAGAGGTCAAGAGAAGGCAAGCGAGCCGCGAGATGCAAGGATGACCCGTTTTCACGGCCGAAGGAGACATCTGTGAACCTGTGGCATGATGGGCGGCAGCGACCCTGTATTTGTAGAGGCTCTTGCGGTCGTGGTGATACCTGCAGCTTCCCTGGTCCCATAATAATAAGTACAATATAGAGTAGTATAGCATAGTACAACATAGTATAGATTCTATATATATGTATATATATATCATGGCGGGCCCCTGTCATACGCATCCCCAATATTAGCGGTCTCCATCCTGAGCATCTGGAAGGTTTAAACGGAAACCACGATGTACCAAAGGGTCCTATATCGCATACACTAGACCCCCTTAAGTAGATAGAATATGGGTACATGGTCATCTTATTATAATATGCACAAAGCCATATTCTATCTACTTAAGCGGGACTATAGGCTCTAAAGTAGTGAGGGAACCCTTTTGGGGTTCAAGTAGACCTACATTAGGATCCTAAGTAAGCTGCGACTACCCTAGTAGATTTTTGTAGGAGACCTCGCACATGATCCCCATAATGAGGCAGGGCTCAGATAATTTAGATGGGACTCTGGGATACAATGCGCTGTACATGTAGACTAGGATTGTTGGGAAAGATTGTTGGTAAATACTCGTGCTTCTACATAAGCCGTTGCTCATACCTCGAGGCCCATAGCGCTTGCTAGCAACTTCTAACTTGCTTTGTAAGCGCACCGACAACCCCTGAAGTGGCCATGTAAGTGCTTGCCAAGCCCTAAACCCTAAACTAAACCCTAAACCTTAAACCCTAAACTCTAAACCCGGAGGTACCTAGCAAAAGTCCACAAAGGTTCTCCTCCAGCGAGCACCTCTTCTCGTCCACCACCGCCAAGTTGCTCAACTTTACGTGAGCTGTAGTCTAAACTCCTTAAAGGGGGATTATGTAAGGGATTATATAGGGGACTACTATTGGGATTGTTAAGGGGGATGCTAGGAGTTTACAATATAGCCCATGTAGCAATTGTGTAAGGGTCATACGTGGGCAGTACTGACTTCATTACTTCTCAAGGCTTCTGACCACTTTTTTGGGGCGTGAACAAGACGTTGGGGGCTGTCAGGGGTCAGTATGTATTCATACAAAACAAACGGCACATACATACATACATACATACATACATACATACATGCATACATATATACATACATACATGCATACAT